GTGATAGAACAGGGACCAGTAAAGCAACCATTGCAGGAGCCCAGACATTAGATGACATGGCTTAGATAAGGCAGTGCTGGTGGGAGTGGGCAGATTTGAGATTTGTTTTAGAGGTAAAAGGAATAAGATTCACTGATGAATTGAGTGAGGGAGTGAAAGAAAGAAGAATCAAAGACAACTCCCAAAATTTTGGTTTGAGTAAAGGGCGGGTGATGTTACCATTTATGTGACAAGAAAGAGTAGGAATGAGACAGACTCTATTTGGCGACGTTAAGTTTGAGAGACCTATTGGGCCACCAAGTTGAGATACCAATTAGGTACAAATTTACAGGTCTGAGTAGTCGTAAGACCTACAGGTCTGAGGAGATATAAGTTTTGCAATTGGGATAAAGAAACTAAGAAACAGAGATAGGCTAAGAAACTCTCTCCTGATCACCCAGGTAGTAAATGGCAGAGCTGGGATTGGAACCTGGATAGTCTGGCTCCAGAATCTATGCATTTAACTACTGTGCAGTATTCACTGGAACTTAAAAGGAGCTGAGAATTTTGAAGAAGAAGGGAGGAAGTAGCAATGGGGAAAAGAAGAACATCAGTTCCAGTTGAGTAGTGTACAAATTTAATCCTCATTTATTCAAGTGTTTTTGAGTAACTCTTCAATATAAATGTATATTTATCTTCAGCCATTTTAAAGGTAGAGACAGTGTTATGGGCGTGTTTTTGACAGAATATGATGACTTGGACAAGGTTAGATATTTATCAAGATTAAACTTTTTTTGTACTATGTAGAAACAAAAATCAAAACCTATGCAGTGGGATTTATCCCAGGGATGCAAGGATGGCTCAACGTATGCAAATCAAACAAGGTGATACATCATATCAACAGACTGAAGCACAAAAACCATATGATTATTTCAATTGATGCTGAAAAACACTTGAAAAAATTTAACCTCTCTCCTTTATTTTAAAAAACCCTAAAAAACTGGCTATTGAAAGAACTTACCTCAACATATTAAAAGCCATCTATGACAGACCCATAGCTGTTATCATACAGAAAGAGGGAAAACTGGAAAGTTTTTCCTCTAAGATATAAAACAATACAAAGATACTTACTCACCACTGTTACACAACACAGTACTAGAAATCCTAGCTATAGCAATCAGGCAAGAGAAATAAATAAAGGGCATCCAAATTGGAAAGGAAGAAGTTAAATTATCTTTGTTTGTAGATGATATAATCTTATATTTGTAAAAAAAACCTATATTTGTAAAGACTCCACCAATAAACTATTAGAATTCAGAAACACATTCAGTAAAGTTGCAGGATACAAAATCAAAATACAAAAATCAGTAACATTTTTATATGCCAATGGTGAACAATTTGAAAAGAAATTCAAGAAAGTAATCCCATTAACAATACCTATAAATAAAATAAAATACTTAGGAATAAACCAAAGAAGTGAAAGATTACAATAAAAACTATAAAACACTGATGAAAGATATTGAAGAGGACACCAAAAAATGGAATGATATTTCATGTTCATAAATTGGAATAATCAATATTGTTAAAATGTCCATATACTGAAAACAATCTATAGATTTGCAATCCCTATCAAAATACCAATGACATTATCTACAGAAATATAAACAATAATCCTAAAATTTATATGAAAACACAAAATATTCAGGATAACCAAAGCTATCTTGAACGAAAAGAACAAAACTGGATGAATCACATCATCTGACTTCAAATTATACTACAGCTCTATAGTAACCAAAACAACATGACATAAAAACAGACAAAGAGACCAATGGAACAGAATGGAGAACTGAGAAACAAATCCACACATCAACAGTGAACCCATTTTCAATAAAGGTGTCAAGAATATACATTGGGGAAAGGACAGTCTCTTCAATAAACGGTGCTGGGACAACTGGATATCCACATGCAAATGATTAAAACTAGATACCTATCTCTTGCCATATACAAAAATCAAATCAAAATGGATTAAAAACTTAAATCTAAGGCTTGAAACTAAAATTATTAAAAGAAAACATTGGGGAAACTCTTCAGGACATTGGACAGGGAAAAGATTTCTTGAGTGATGCCCCACAAGTACAGGCAACCAATGAAAACATGGACAAATTACAATCACATGAAGTTAAAAAGCTTCTTCATAGCAAAGGAAACAATCAAGAAAGTGAAAAGACAATCCAAGGAATGGGAGAAAATATCTGCAAACTATGTATCTGAGAAGGGGTTAATAACCAGACTATATAAACAACTCTATAGGAAAAAAATATAATAATCTGATTTTAAAATGGGCAAAAGATCTGTGTGATGGCAAATACTGAGTGTCAAACTGACTGGATTGAAGGATGCAAAATACTGATCCTGGGCATGTCTGAGAGGGTACTGCCAAAGGAGATTAACATTTGAGTCAGTTGGCTGGGGAAGGCAGACCCACCCTTAATCTGGTGGGCACAATCTAATCAGCTGCCAGTGAATATAAAGCAGGCAGAAAAATGTGAAAAGGTGAGACTGGCCTAGCCTCCCAGCCTACATCTTTCTCCCATGCTAGATGCTTCCTGCTCTCAAACATCGGACTCCAAGTTCTTCAGTTTTGAGACTTGGGCTGGCTCTTGTTACTCCTCAAGCTAGCAAATGGCCTACTGTGGGACCTTGTGATCATGTAAGTTAATATTTAATAAACTCCCATATATATGTGTGTACATATAAATGTATATGTATATGTAAATATATGTGTGTGTGTATATATATCCTATTAGTTCATATATATATATACATATCATATTAGTTCTGTCCCTCTAGGGAACCCTGAGTAATATAATTTGAATAGACATTTCTCAAAAGAAGACATACAAATGGCAAACCAATATATGAAAATGTGCTTAATATCATTGATCATTAGAGAAATGCAAATCACAACTACAATGAGATATCTCACAATTAAAATGGTTCTTATCCAAAAAACAGGCAATCACACATGCTGGCAAGTGTGGAGAAAAAGAAATCCTAGTATGCTGTTGGTGGGAATGTAAATTAGTATAACCACAAGAAGAACAGTTTGAAGGTTTCCCTCCAAAATAAAAATAGAACTGTCATATAATCCAGCAATCATATTATAAGGTATGGGACCAAAAGAAATGAAATCATTACATTGAAGAGATATCTGCACTCCCATATGTATTGTGGCACTATTCACAATAGTTAAGATTTGCAAGCAACCCGAGTGTTCTTGAACAAACTAATACATAAAGAGAATGTGGTACATATACACAATGGTGTACTATTCAGCCATAAAAAAGAACAAGATCCTGTCATTTGCAACAACATGGATGGAACTGGAGGTGATTATGTTAACTGAATAAACCAGGCACAGAAAAGACTAACTTCACATGTTCTCACTTATTTGTGGGAGCTAAAAAAAAAACATTAAAACAATGAACTCATGGAGATAGTAAAATGATGGTTACAGAGGCTAGGAAGCTTCAGTAATGGGGCAGGGAATGAGGGCAGAAATGGGTATAGTTAATGTGTACAAACATATAGTCAAATAAGATCTAGTATCTTATAGCACAACAAGGCAACTATAATTAACATTAATTTATTGCATATTTCAAAATAACTAAAAGAATATAATGGGATTGTTTCTAAGACAAAGGAAGGATAAATGCTTGAGGTGATGCATAACCCATTTACCCTGATGTGATTATTAAGCATTATATGCCTGTATCAAAATATCTCATATATCCTATAAATAGAGACATCTACTATGTACTCACAAAAAATTGTTTTAAAAAAAACCTATGCAGCATTACTTCCTAGAAAAGACAGTTCCACAATCTTCCCTGTTGTGTCTGATTGACTTGAAGAGTAATCAAACTATAAAGAATTTATCCAGTGAGAACTCAGAAATGTCCTTACCAAGTACAATCACTTAAAAGTAATTATTTACTTATACCAACTATCAGAATTAATTTAACTGTAGCAACAGTTGATGTGGCACCTTATAATTAATATAGATAAATTTTTAGTGACATTCATAATTGGTGGCAAATAGTAACATACTTAAGGTTATATAGTCATGTATTTACTAGCAACAGAGAATGTGGCATTGGCAGAAAAATAAAACTTTTAAAAAACAGAAAAATAGAAGATTTTAGAAAGATATCATGTGCACTATAGCCTCTTATATTATAAGGCTTTCCTAGTTTTTCTGCCTACACAGCCCAGTGTGTTGGATGGCAGGAAGCAATGCACAGGTGTTAAGAGTACAGATGGCTTTGGGCTCTGCCATATACAGTACTAGATGTGAGACCTTGGGAAAGTTGTTTAGTTTTTCATGCTTCCCTCCATTCCTCACTCACTTCTTTGAGTTGAGTTATGGTAGAACTAAAGTGAAATGAGACACGAAAAGTGCTTAAAGCATTGCTTGACACATCATAAATACCCCAAGAAATGTTAACCATTTTTAGATTTCCTCACTCTACCCAACTTTCTTGCCTTAGTTTAAAATAATTATCAAAGTATAAGGTGGAAAATACAAAATGTTTCCAATGTCTAACTCATATTTCTAAGCTGCATGGACTAGACTCTCTTCAGAAGCTCCTCGAGTATGAAAAAGTCTACCCTACTGCCTCTGATCTCATCCAACTCTCTGCTTTTGTGAGCTAAATGTTTTCCCAAGAAATCATTCAAAATCCCCACTGTCAACCAAAAACTTCCACTCCTACAATTTTATCCTAAGAAAGAATTAAGAATTTATGCTCACATTTAGCTGTAATGGTGTTAATAGTGAGGAAATGATTTAGAAAAACTTAGTGAACAACAAGAGAGGATTCACAGATAAATTGTGGAGCAACACATATACAATATAATTGTAAGAAACTCTAAAAAGAACTTTGTATAAAAATAATAATGAAAAAGGAAGTTCATTATATATATTTTAAAATTTTTAAATAGCAGACTATAATGCAGGATGTGCCATATGGTACTATTTTTTAAAGTGTATAGGTAAATATAAGCATAGAAAATGTCTGGAAGGCTTTACAGTGACTAAAATGTAGTGTATCATCCACTCACTCCTCCCAATAATGCTGGAATGGTCTACTAGCAAGACTAGGTAACTGGCCATTCTTGCGTAATTTCAGTCTAAGTCCTTCCTTGATAAACAGAGACTGGGAAAACAAAGAGGGCACATTGGTTACAAGCTAGAAGGTGATATTCTGCACCTCTCTAATTCTCTGCCTTATACTTCTCAGTTATGAAGGTTGTGTCCCTGAAGTCTCTCATGTGGCAGTGTTCACAAATAGCTAAAGGTATCACGTATGATGTCAGAAGCAAAGCGTTCCATTTCCTGTGTAAAATTTTGCCCATTGTCATTACCTCTGGGGGCCCTCCAAATGATTGTAAGTATTACTAGCAATATTTTTAAAAACAAATTATAAATCTACTTTATTATTACACCTCTAATTATAAAGTAAATGATATTACCATTTTTTTAAACCATAATTGGGAAGGCTTATTTAAACATCAGAAGTGAAAGAGACTGCTGTGTGTTAAGGTAATCAATATTTAAGACCATTAAGAGTTCTTACAATACATTCAGATGGTCATTCCACAGCCTCTGGTAGGAGATTTGTGATTAAGCATAAAATTTAGCAATAAAGGTGTCAGGCTCACATATTTTAATGAAGGTGTTATAATATTTGTTCTGATTTCTGAGATCACTTTTCAGTTCCTGGCACTTGGAAGCAAAAAAGAATCCTTTTAATGAACATTAAAGTGTATTTTCTCCAAGTTGTAATGTTTCCAACATGAAAAACTGAAGGCACACACTAGCCAGTAATTTATAAACTAAGACCAAACCAAATAAAATTGTTAATTTTTGACCTACCAAAAAATGGCGATTTCATATGGTTCAATCAAATATGATAATAAAGGTACATAAGTGATTTTTAAAATAAAGCTTCCTAAAAGTATTTTTACCCAGATATATTTTTTACATACAACATTTTGTTTGTCTGTTTTATTATACTTTAAGTTCTGGGATACATGTGCAGAATGTGCAGGTTTGTTACATACGCATACACGTGCCATGGTGGTTTGTTACATCCATCACTCCGTCATCTACATTGGGTATATCTCCTAATGCTATCCCTCCCCTATCTTCCATCTCCCTTCTATCCCTCCCCTAGCCTCCCACCCTCCAACAAGCCCCAGTGTGTGATGTCTCCCTCCCTGTGTCCACGTGCTCTCATTATTAAACACCCACTTATGAGCGAGAACATGCGGTGTTTGGTTTTCTGTTCTTGTGTCAGTTTGCCGAGAATGATGGTAGTTTAACGTGGCATTATCAAGAGTTTTATAATCACTCTCGTTTAGCCTCACCATATTCTAAGGGAATAAGTTATGTAACTTGCTCTTGGAAGTAAATGGTTAAATGGGCAACTAGGGAAAAAGCTCTAGTGTGGAAATAATCTTATTATTCATTCAAAAAATATACCTTGAACACCTACTCTGTGTCAGACACTATACCAAGTACTAAGAACACATCAATGACCAGTTTCTGTTTAAAAATTGTTGCCTAAGCTGGGAGGCTCAGGCCTGTAATCCCAGCACTTTGGGAGGCCGAGGTGAGCAGATCACTCGAGGTCAGGAGTTCAAGACCAGCCTGGGCAACATGGTGAAACCCTGTCTCTACTAAAAATATAAAAATTAGCTGGGCGTGTTGGCACACACCTGTAGTCCCAACTACTCAGGAGGCTGAGGCACAAGAATCACTTGAACTCAGGAGGCAGAGGCTGCAGTGAGTTGAGATCATGCCACTGCACTCCAGCCTGGGCAACAGAGCAAGATCCTATCTCAGAAAGAAAAAAAAAGAATTGTGGTCTATCTTTTTACTTAATTCTATGTAAATATTCTCATTCGTTTATTTCTTATTTATATCCTCTGGGAAATGTAGCTCCTGGTTATGTTTTTTTCCTCATACTAATAAAATATGATTATTATTTACTGTCATATCTGATTATGACATCAAAAATATTATGTTTTGCAATTTATAAATTTGTATTCTTTCTTATGTACCAGTATCAGTCACCCTGTTGCATTTTTTATTGTAACAAAATACAGGTAACATAAAATGTACTTCTTTAACCACTCTCATTAAATATTTCTTGTTATCAAGTAAGTAAGAAAGCGCATGTATGTGCATTCCATCTAGGTGCTGTTAACATTGTAGATATACATACATTGGACACTACGTATCCATCTAACATGTAACAAAAGTTCAAAACATAGAAAACCAAATAAGAAAGATTAGTATCTCTTTTGAGAAACTGACAATCAAATACTGGTATCAATTTGGCAGCAACAAGTTCTAGATCAGTATTTCACAATAATGTTTGCCCTCAAAACGCATTATAAAGTAGTGATGAAAGATCAATATGAATCCATGAAATATAATAGGCATTTAGATTAAAGTAAACAGTAAAAATAGTGTCAAGGAAACCACCTTAAAACAATTAAAATTTTTATCTATATCACAAATATGCATGAGAAAGTCTTAACATCACTGAATAGTTGACATACATTAAAGTTTAGAATAAGTTGATAAAATGGTAAAACCTGACTCTGCATTGACTAACAAACTGATCACCAGTCATTTGGTCTTCAGGTAACATATGCAACTTCTTTTCCTCTTAAGGTTGCCCACCATTCCTTAAATACAGACTTTTACATAATAAGAACAAGAGAAATGTGCTTAGTATTTTTCTTACATTTATATTTTTAATGCACTTTGAAGAAAATATTGCTAACACTAGGTTTTTGGTTTTGGTTTTGCTGAATCTATTAATATCTTAGGACAGTTTGAGAACATTTTTCCATATGCCATGCAAAACTATAAAGTATTAATAAAAACGGCTTTGGCCATGTGTGGTGTATCCTCTGATTTTTACAAAAGCTTTTATGAGAACTGAAAATGCCTTCTAATTTTTGTGGTTGTGAGTGATCTCATTCACTTCTTTATCAGATTGGGGCATTAGATAGACAGCTAAGTTAATTAAGGAGTTCCTCCTTTAGGCTATAGACTCCAAGAACAAGACCACCAACCTCCTTGCTTATATCCCTAATCAGCTATTAATTTATACACTTAAAGCACCTAGCATAGTACTTTGCATATAGTATACGTTTAATTAACATCTGTGGAAAAGAGGCAGTGTGGCCTTGTCAGACACATCTGGATTCAAATCCTATCTCTACCTCTTACTAGCTGAGCAGCCACAGGCAAATTGTTAATCTCAGAATTCATTCATCTTGTACTGTATCATGGTGATAACTTATACCACAGTTGCTATGAAAATTAAGAGATATAATAAAGATAACGTGTCCAGTACAAAGTGTGGGCATATAGTTAGAACTCTTCCCTTACTTTATATATTCTTCACACAAGAGTCAATCCTAGAGGAAAATTATGAAGACCCTTCCACTTTCCCTTTTTTACCCTTCTCCCCAAACACAGTCCTCTCCATCTTGCACTGTTGTTCATCACCATTGGTACATAACTGAGATAACGGCATGGTGGTCAGGAGACCCGAATTCTTTTTTTTTTTTTTTTTTTTTTTTGAGATGGAGTCTCACTCTGTCACCTAGGTTAAGAGTATAATAGCAGGATCTTGGCTCACTGCAACCTCCGCCTTCCAGGTTCAAGCAATTCTTCTGTCTCAGCCTCTGGAGTAGCTGGGATTACAGGCACCTACCATCATGGCTGGCTAATTTTTGTATTTTTAGTAGAGATGGGGTTTTACCATGTTGGCCAGGCTGGTCTCAAACTCCTGACCTTAGGTAATCCATCTACCTTGGCCTTCCCAAGTGCTGGGATTACAGGTGTGAGCCACTGTGCTAGGCCCTGAATTCTTATTCTGTCTTGGCCCTTACTAACTAAATGTCTTGGCCAAGCCATTTGACATATTATGGGTAGGGACTTAGACAGTTTTATTTAGAGATTGGTGAGTTGGATGTAGTAATTTAAAGTCTTTTTATATTAAAACAAACATTGTTATATTGAATCAATACAAAATTTATGTAAAGTTTTAAGATAAACCAAGAGATTTCAAAGATATTCCCATTTGTGGTGGGTTACTTTGGGCTAAGTCCCCAGATTCCTGGAGATTCAAGTTCCCTCTCTTATCATGGGAGTTACTTTGTTGAAAAAGTTGGTGACCTTTGAAATTTCTTTCAGCTCAGGAATTCTTTCAGCTCATCCTTCTCCCCCTCCTCTCCACCAAATTTCAACTTAACTTGATAAACTAGGCATCAGGGGAAAGCTACTGCATATTGCCTAAGGCTTCCAGAGGCAATTTTCTGGGCACAAGCAATTAGCTGCCCTAGGCAAAACCACACAGTAGGCAAAGACTGCCTCCCCCCCTCCTGCAGTATCCACCCCCACTACCTGCAGGCTTCTTCAGCTGCCTTCAGCTTGCCAGAGCACTCACTTCCACCTACAATTCTGACTTTCACCCAAGCCCTAAATTCTAAATTTCCCCCCCAACCTCCCCCATGTAATTTTCTATTCCCTCTTTGGTGTTAGTCTCAGCTAAGTTATACAAGGTGATCTGATTTGAATTTTTCTGATTGACATCTGCATTTTAAAGAAGAATATGTTAGTATTAACAGCGAAATATTTATGGGAAATATTTCTGAACCTTGAGCCATAAAGAAGCCCTTTGCTCACTCTAGGTTATGAGATCTTACTCTACCAGTCTCTATCTCTTTGAAAGAAGAGAGGTCATTTCTTGTACCCATACTTCTGAAATATTGCCAATCTCTGTGATAAATTATTCAAAGGCAATAGAGTTCTCTTAGGTAACATGCAAGTCATGATTACTTTTTTTTTTCATATTACTCCTTCAGTTGGAAATAACTTACCATCCTTCCTCCATCTATTTAAATCAGGGATCTCAAGCTGGTAGCCAAGGATTTTTATGTGGCTTTAGATACATTTTGTTTGGCCATTACATTGGGCCTATAGCAAGTAATGACGTATATACTATTACCCAGTTAACAAAAGCAGCTAGGCTCCTATTGTATTGTATCTAGCCTACTTCATACATTTGTTGATTGCACAGGGTACTTCACTTTCTGACCTCTAATCATCCTTCAAGATCTCATCTAAAAGTCATCATTTTTTTTAGAAACTCGATGTTTATTTTCCATGAATCTTATATGTTGTTTAAGAGGCCTGAGCGTTGGGAGCTGCAGACCAGTCTTCCGTGGCAGGCTGGGGGCTCCAGTCTTCAGTAGGGAACTGCTGGATAGGCACAGAGGGCACCTGCATGCCTTCAGACCAGTGGACAACCTCAGGCTGAGTAGCAGTGAACTCAGGAGCTGGAGCAGTCCATTCACCCTGAAATTCCTCCTTGGTCACAGCCTTTTCAGCAGCAGCCTGCTCTTCTTTTTCAATGTCTTCAGGATCTCTGTAGAAGTAAAGATCAGGCATGACCTCCCATGGGTGTTCCCAGGAAATGGTGCCACACATGTGCAAAATTTCCCGAGCCAGCATCCACCACATCAAACCCACTGAGTGAGCTCCCTTGTTGTTGCATGGGATGGCAATGTCCACATAGAGCAGAGGAGAATCTGTGTTACACAGAGCAATGGTAGGTAGGTTAACATAAGACGCCACCGTGAGAAGCTGGTGGTCAGCCCTTGGGTCAGTAACCACAAGCAGCCATGGCTCCTGGAAGGCTGCCTGGATCTGGTTGGTGAAGCTTCCAGGAGGAAAGCGGCCAGCAATTGGAGTGGCTCCACTGGCAGCAGCAAACTTCAGCACGGCTCTCTGGCCAGTATTCCTGGAGGACATAACACAGACATCAGCAGGGTTTTCAATGGCAACAATGGCACGAGCTGCCAGGAGAAGCTTCTCCCAGGTCCTCTTCAGATTTATGATGTAGATGCCATCACTTTTCCTTTTATAGATATACTGTTCCATCTGGAAGTCAAGGTTGGTGTCACCTAAATGGGTTCCTGCTGCCAGGAACTTAAGGACATCCTCCTCCTTCATTTTCAGGACATTAAGGACTCCGGACATTGTGAAAATTTCCCTTTAAGTTACGACAGGAATCCAGAACAACATGGTATGGAGCCCTCAGGAGGTAGCGTGGAAAAAGTAAAAGTCATCTTTTCTACAAGGTTTGAGAATCAATCAGTACTTACAGCAAGTTAGTTGCTAGTTGCATTAATCATAAGCACCTAGCTGTTATGCAGCAGCTCCTAGTCTTATGCAGGGGCTCTGAATAGAATAATTAACTGCAAATGCAATTTAATGAAGTGGGTCTGATGGTGGAGATAGCAGATTATGGCACTGAGGAAGCAGAAGGCATGTTGAAGCTGATCAGACTTTCATGTACCCTTAAATTGCTCAGTGTAGGCTGCTGACTCTTATATCTGGGAGTGTTTAGTACCACCTAGTACCTACTAGTTACTCTGAAGGCAGTATATATCCTTATATTCTACATAGTGTAGAAAAACAAAACATGCCCCCAAATCACTTAATCTAAAGGGAATTTTACCATGGGCCCCCAAAATCACTTAATCTAAAGGGAAAAGTCAAGCGTTGAACTGCTTAGGGCAAACCTGCCTCCAATAATATTCAAAGTCACCCCTCTATACAGGAGATAAATGCATATTTGATTGCCTCCTTTGAAGAGGCTAATCAGAAACTCAAAAGAATGCAATTATTTATCTCTTATCTACCTATGAACTGGAAGTCCCCTCCCCATTTGGAGTTGTCCTGCCTTTCCAGATTGAACCAATGTTCATCTTACATATGCTGATTGATGTCTCATGTCTCCCTAAAACGTATAAAACCAAACACGTCATCAGCCCTCATGAGGCTGTCATGGGCACGCATCTTCAACTTTAGCAAAATAAATTTTCTAAATTAACAGACCTGTCTCAGATTTTGGGTGTTCACATTTTGATAATCACTGAGGGATTCTGAGTGGAGGTGCTCCTGATACTTGACAAATCTCCTGTAAGTGCTTGGTACCAGCATGAGCTAACTTTATGGCTCAAATCAGTAGGAAAATTTGCTGGGATCTGGGAGCATTCTCTCCAACCAAATCCCTGATCTCCCAAAATTTAGTTGAGATCTAAAGTTTATTTTGCTGTACAACTCCCTTTTTATGGAGTTTTACTTGCTTCTAACAAGGAAGACAAGTTTTCCTGCTTCCATGACAATGAAAGGCAGGTAACTCCTTTATGGAGTTTGAAGTCACTTCCAACAGGGAAGTTGAGTTTCTTTTTCCTGCTTCTAGGATGGTAGAGAGCCATCTTCAGTAGCTGAACTGGGGTTTTGTCTTGGCTAAAGTTAACAACCAGCTAGTTTTAATTTTTCCTTACTGTCAGGTCTCCATATGCAAGCCTGGAGCCTGAAAGTCTGAAGTCCTGCCTGCCCAGGCTGATGTCTCCCACTTGCTGCCTGTGTTTGCCATTGTCCCTGATCACTTCCAGGACAAGCTCCTCACCCAACCCTGACATCTTAACTGTTCTTATGATAATGTAAATACCTCTCATCCAACCCTGCCACTGTAACTGAACTTGTGGTCATGTATACTCCCTTGCCCCTACCCCCCACCATTGTAACTAGTCTTACTCTGCAACACCCCTGCCCCCTAAAAAACTACCCAAACCTATAAAACCAACTCCTATCCCAGTGCCCTTTACTAATGCCCTTTTTGGCATTAGCCCATCTGCATCCAGGTGAATAAATAGCCATGTTGCTCACACAAAGCCTGTTTGGAAGGTCTCTTCATTCAAAGCGCACATTTTTTCAACACATTATTAGAGCACTCAGTAATCATGTAAGTTGTGCGATCATTTGTTTTGCTTAACTGTTTTTTGTTGTTTGTTTCTGTTTTTGCTGTTGTTTTGGTCTTTTTCCCACTGGGTTGGATCAATTCTATCCGACTTGATCAAATCCAAAGTAAGTTACAAATTTGGGCAACAAGACCTCTGAAGTGGCTAAATTTCCACACACACACACACAAAGGTGGTGTGGTAGGGGGAGAAAAATAACCAGCAAAAGAGAAAAAAGAAGAGAAAATATTTTTTATTTTGACTACTAAGTGGCTTTATTTACAGAACAATGGCACCTTTTTGCTAGCCAGACCAAACTGAAAGAGCAATGGCTATACTTCTGAAACAGCAGCAATTTGTCCTAGCTGAAATATAGTAATGAGATTTAAAAATATATTTTTTTAAGGGGCTTAATGGTAAAAAGTCAGCTTAATTAAAAGCTAAAATCCAAGATGTGTGTACGTGTGCATAAGTGTGTTTGTGCATGTGTGTGTCTGTGTGCATGTGTGTATGTTTGTATTTAACACACTTTCACGGTTTTCTCCTGGGACTTTGTCTTTTATTTATTTATTTTTTGAGCAAAAGTGTTTTTATTCTCAGCTGAGTGAATTCTGTTTTCTTCATTTATTTCTGCTATCTCTCCTTTCTTTTGCACCTCTGCTGCAGGCAGAGCCTAAAATAGTTTATAATAGTCTGGGTTTCCTTAAAGAAAATGAAGAAGGCACCAGACTCTCTTTGGGTGAGAAACCTTTCTTCCTTGTGGACTCCCAAGAATGTGAACAGACAAATTTGTCTCAGTTCTTAAACTGCTTACTTTTGTACTGTGTTACCTTTTTTCTATTTTGACTAAAATAGTTATTGCAACAGAGGTTACTCTTGGGTATTTAAGGAAGAGTGTGACTTAGAGAATTAGAAATATCTTTGTTTAAAAAAATTTTTTTTAAGTGTACTGTAAAAGCATTATATGTTCCAATGTCATAATAATTCTCACTTTTTGGAGACCCAGGATTCAGTGTGGGTTCTTCCCAGAGCTCCGAGATCCAGATTAAAAAAAGGTAGTCTCTATCTAATTAAAATAGGTCTCCTTATACAATCATATGATCAATTTCTACAATTTTATATTTGATTTGGCATCCATCTTTAATCTCCCTCTAGCCACTAGACTTTTTTTCTATGTACCTTAAGATGTAAGTTTTGCTATATGATTTACATCTGAGTTGTTTCTTTTAATATGCAAATTTAAGGCTATTTAGCTGACAACTGCCTAGAGTTGTGAAACAGGTCATCAAGAATCTGAAAGTAAATCTATAAGATGTACTTCTATTAGGATGCCTAATATGTCTATGTATTTATGTATTGTGTACACAATATTTCACCACTGAAAATATATAAAAGAGCTCTAATTAATTGGCTTAAAAAAGTGCTTGAATCAAACATTTTATCAGGAAAAAACAAGACTAGCCAAATGAGTTTTCAAGTTTATGTAACTTAAGTAAAATCTTTAATAAATAAGCTAGCTTTAAAATTACTGGTAAAGTAATATCAGAAATGTCTTAATAAATGCTGGCATACAGTTTTTTTTGTTTTGCAATTATTAATCAAACAATTTCATACTTATCCCTGAAAAATATTTAAGGTGTAAAAATTTGGCATAGCAGTTACAAAACTATAAACCCAGCCCAAGACAGAATGATCTTTGCTCGTGTAATCTTTAATAAGTAAGACATTGATATTGGTTTAATAAAAATAGCTATACCTTGAATTTAGTGAGATTACCATAACTTCTCATCTTGTGGCTCTAGGTGGTGTAGTCCACAGGCAGTAAGGTTTGTTTTGGGAAAGGACTGTTATTGTTTTTGCTTCAAAGTTAAACTATAAACTAAGTTCCTCCCAAAGTTAGTTTGGCCTATGCCCAGGAATAAACAAGGACAGCTTGGAGGTTAGAAGCAAGATGGAGTCAGGTCAAATCTGTTTCACTGTGTCAGTTATAATTTTGCAACGGCAGTCACATAACTTTAAATAATGACAATTGCAGTTTTTTATAAATAATCTAGGTAAACTATTAAAATAAATAAAATAATTAGGTAAATGTAATAAGATAAATACTTGTAGATAAACTCATCATAATTTAGAATCTAAGGTTATATTAAATTACAGATATTTCATTGTTTGGGTATTTTCCAATAAACATATATTTGTAGGAAAACATAAGAAAAAGGTGAACACAATAGCAAAGACTTGGAACCAACCCAGATTGGATAAAGAAATTGTGGCACATATACACCATGGAATACTATGCAGCCATAAAAAAAGGATAAGTTCATGTCCCTTGCAGGATATAGACAAAACTGGAAACCATTATTCTTAGCGAACTAAAACAAGGACAGAAAACCAAACACCTCATGTTCTCACTCATAAGTGGGAGTTGAACAATGAGAACATATAGACACAAAGAGGGGAACATCACACACCGGGGTCTATCAGGGGGTGGAGGGCTAGGGGAGGGATGGCATTAGGAGAAATACCTAATGTAGATGATGGGTTGATGGGTGTAGGAAACCACCATGGCACATGTATATCTATGTAACGAACCTGCATGTTCTGCACATGTATCCCAGAACTTAAAGTATAATTAAAAATTAAGAAAAATGGTGAAAAATTTTGTCTAATTTAAAGCCTGAAGGTCACATATAAAACAAGGCAAAAGGAACCAAGAAGTAAAATAGATGTAAAGAAAGTTAAAAAAATAAAAAAAAAATTTTTTTTTGTAAGAAAGCTTAAAGGGAAATAATTTTTTATGAGAAGGAATCTTGTACGGTACATTTAGTCCTAGATTAAGAAAGTTAAGAAAGAGCGTTGTTTAAGAAAGAGGGATGTTCAGGACAAACCAGAATGTCTAAGCATGTCATGAATGGTGAGGATTTATTAAAAAAAAACTTTTAAATCAAGCTGTCATATTATTATTTAAGTTTGTTTTGCTTAGGTAAAAAGTCAGATTACATTTTTTTAAATTAAGGTTATTACATCTGTGTATCTCTCTACACACACCTTCGAAGTACTCGTGACATTGAGTTACAGGGCTTTGACTTCTGAGCCTAAAAAGAACACCAAGTCCTGCTAAATTTTAAATACTGAAAGCAATTAAAGCCCTATCTCAGGCCTTGTAGATGTCAATCAAAATAAACTGCATTCCTGAGACACTGGGCCAGAAATTAAAGGTATTTCAACTCAAGGCCCAGGGACTATTAAAGAAGAGGTGGGTACAAGAGATTGTAAGGGCTGATTTTGAAAGATAAAATAAGTTCAGTCTCTCTATAAATTAATCATTGATATAAAAGGCACACTGATGCAAGACCAGCATATAGGCCCTTGTGTCAAATTAACAAAGTTTTCTTGAAGCATTAACTGACTTCTTAATAAAGGTTATAAAGTTATAAAAGTCTTATGGAAGTTGTACATTATGGTCAAGATTAAAATTTTATAGATTGTTTATAAAATTTTGAAAAACACATTTAATTGGCTTCATGCTGTTTTTATTAGGACTTGTTGTTTGGAACATTAAGTCTCCTCTCTCAAAGAATGAAGGTTTTTGCCTTTTTTGAAATCTTTGAGTTATCACTTTGGTCAAATGAATGATCCTATTTTATTAGATCAAGAGTTTTAAACCTTTGATATTTGACAAAATCAAATTATAAATTGTCATTTTCTACCCTAATTTATCCTTTAGGTTCCCTAAAGTCCAAAGATGATATAGTTTGGCTTATTTGGTATAAACATTATATAGGAAACACTGTCAAATATTAAATGGTGTTTAGTTTTCTTTAGGCTGTATTTGTAAAAATATATTATTGGTATGTGCTCTAAAATCATGGAAAACTCCTATAATTCTGACATGACTTAGTGTACATTATCAGGAATAATTATAATTGTTATGTTAAATTATTGTGTGCCAAAGAAGTAACAAATTTCTTTGTCAATTGTGTCTTCGACTATGGCTGCTCTAAAATCTTTTGCCATCCATGGACAATTGTTGTCTTGCTTTGGTCCTCCTCAGAATGTGGTTTTATATTCGGCTATAAAACTCTAACAGGTGTTCTTAAATGCAGGTTTCTGATAAGTTTGGAAATTGTGACATCAGAATAGAGAAAAAAACTTCCAGGACTCTTAATGGAGAGCTGAAATGCTCATGAATATTAAGCAGAATAGAAGTTAACAGTGTAAACTGAACTGACAGAAGACTAAAGTAGTATGTTTGACTTTTTCCTTTAAACATTGCTGATCTTTTTTTTTTTCAGAGTCAAGGAAACTTCTTTTGAGCTACTGACAGCTTTTAACAGTTTTGTATACTCCTATGAACCAAATTTGGAGCATATTTGTTTCTCTCTACCTGATTTCTCCAGAATTTGAAAACTATTTGTGACTATTCTTCTCTATGGCAATACAGTTATTTGCAATAAGAATCAATTTCCATTTTAAAACAGGACACAAGTGGAGAACCTGGTTATTTTACTGAGTCTTTTACTGAAATGGTGTGCTTTTCTTTAAGAAATCAAACTTCTTATGGAGCCAATAAAGCCCTTTGGGGAAACTGGCCTCATAACTTTCCTGTACAGGATTCATGACCTGTGGTGAGTAAAGAATGTCACTTTCTGGAAGGCCCAGGAGTCCCAAGTTTACCTTGGCACCTCAAAAAGAAAGAATCACCTAACTCATAGGTATCTGATGGCACAAATCCATCACTGGGCTTGGCTTTTAAAGTCTTATCTGAGATCCT